GCTTTGCAGGATGCCTCTGACAGCCACTGTGAACATCAGGCCTGCTGGCATGAGGGGGAAGTGTGGAGCGGGAAAGCCCCAGGCAGCTGCATTCATTGTAACAGAGCTGCTGGAGAGGCTGTGTGCATTTAGTAGTTCAGCCTAGGTAAGCCTAAAGTGGGGACCACGGCCCTACCCTGTATTTACAAGGGACGCAATATCTGAAGGCTTAATAATGGGGTTTGTCCTGACTGTGAGATGGTGGCTTAGGAAAGGTTCAGTTTAACAATTGCATCACAATGTGGAATATTGATCCCTTGCTGTCCTGATTCCTTAGGGACCAACAGAGGCCTCACTCCTGTGGGGTAGAGAGTTGGCAGCAAGTTGAGTATTAACTAGCAACTTTGTCAGCTGCATTAAAGGCTGTGGTGAATAAAGCTGCATTGTGTGACAGTGTGTGCAGAGGTAATGGAGGGGAAACAGTTACGTTCTGAACTGGTTCTGGTCTCTCCTGGGTCAGAACCAAGGCTGAGCTCACAGTAGTGCTACAGTTACAGATGACCTGGAGGGCATCTGTCAGGGCTGGGCTTGTGTAGGAGCCTTCCTGGACCCCCTCTGTGCCTTGGATGAATTCCCACTACATTAAGTGCGCCTCTGCCTGCTGCTGCTGTGCAAACCCATTGCCCATCAAGTGCTTCTGACAGGTTGAGGCTGCTGGGTCAGGGAACAGAGCATGTACCTCCTTCTGAGAGACTCATGGTATTATACAAGATATGACAACTCCTGTTTTTTGGATAGGACTGGTTGACATCGCTCCACATAACTGAACAGAAAAAGCATGCTTAACCACAGGACACAAATACCCAGCACACAAGGGAAGATCCACACACAATTGTGTCACTTTATTAAGTCTGCCTGGACTCTGGCTTGGCACAGCTGTGGTTTGGGAAGCCAGTGTGCCCTAGGCATCCAGGTGCAGCGGTGCAGAAAGCCCCATGAAGCAGTGTGCACAAAGTGACCAGCTCAAAGCTCTTTCTTTGGCTACAGGTAATAGCAGTACACTGCATTTGTAATGGTGCACTTTGATGCAAAGTGGCATTCAAGTATGTCTGCGCTGGCAGCCCAGGAAGGGAAGACAGACGGACACAAACGTAAGTGCCCATCTCTCTAGGCAACACCAGCTCTATTAAGGGGATGCTCTTCTGAGAGGACTGACTCGCAGGGACAGGCTTGGCTCAGGGAAGCTTAGGTATCTTTGTTCGGGATGGTGGCTCACAGCCCTGAGCAATATCAAGAGGCACTAGTGGGAGTATGTACAACGTGCTGTCTTGTCAGTGAGCATATGGAGTGGAGGAAGACGTGTACTTTTTGCAGACGCTGTCAGTAGCAGGAAGAACTGAGATCAAGTGGGGCTAACAACAGCTTTCTGTGTGAAGAATACTTCCAGCCTGCAAAGAGCCATACTGGATGACCAGGGTGCTTGTTGCATGAAGCATGCAGAGGCGAGGAAGGGGTAGATGAGTTTGTTTTCATTTGTTCCTGGACCCCCTCCCCAATTTGCTTCTAACCCATTTCCCTAAGTCCTTGTCGTGTCTCTCCTAGCAATTACTCTCAGTTGCTGTTTGAGGGAGCCAAATGAAGTTCCAGGGTTGGACACCACAGAGGTTTCAGCTCCCAACACTTTCCTTGATAAATGGATGCTGGGAACAGTGTAAGAGAAAAGGATCCAATCCCTATTGCTTTGCATTACCATCACTAAAAATTAAGCACTTGGCAGCCAAGCTAGAGCTCCTGTGAGGCAAGCAATGACATCTCTTGTTTATAAAGGGCAGAAGCTAAGGACTTCACTGCAGGTCATGGAAGCAGTTGGTGACACATATGTGACAGGGCTCTGGGTCTCCCTGGTATGTTCTCAGACACAAGGTATGCTTTTCTTTCTTCCTTTTTTTTTTCCTACTCTAACTTCCAGAAAATATGCCCAAAGTACTGCTTAAAGTTAAGGGGTGCCCAAGTCTGGGAAGCAGGCAGGAGTGGTGTCTAGCTCGGGCTGGGTGCTAGAGGTTAGCGGCTTAGGAGAGAAGTAAGATCTGCAGGATTTTTAGGTGATCTCATGTCTGATGGAGAACATCAGCGCACGCGGCGAGGCTGAGTCTAATGTGGTGCATTCACAAATCTATTTGCATAGTCCCCTTGAGGAAGGATGGATGGTGGCCCCTGGCATCTTGCACACGCACATTCATACACAGAAAGGTTGTATGCTGTACAGCCCAGAAGCAGCACCATGTAGAAACCATCCAAAGGCCATGGGATGCCCTGAGGGAAGTCAGCTCCAGCATGCAGGCCCCAGTTCAGCACGGCTATGGCTCCACCGTCACGCTGCTGTTAGTAACACGTACACCATACCATCCCTTCCAGAATAGTGTGTCCTGGCCACCGTGTTCAAAGCGGACAAAGCGGACCCCAGGCCCATAGTTGGAAAAGGTGTGGGAGATCTTTGGGATGAGAGACAAAATGGTTGTTGGTAAGCGTCAAACCACCATGAACCTACCCTTCTTTAGTGCACAGAGCCTTCAACCCCACCTGCCTGAGTCATACCTACCAGTTTAGTAACAATGAGGACATTTACAGTGGGAGTCACTGGGAGAAGCTTTGATCCCATTGTTGTTCAGAGGCCATTGAACCTCTCCCAGTTGGGCATCTCCTTCATCTTACACCTGCAGTGGTGGCTCAGCCAGTTTCCAAGTTTTATGTAAGGTAGCCTTCCAGTATAATCCCTTTGCTCAATCACGGGGTCATGGCTCCACAGAACACATGACAAAGCCTTCTCCTCCTCCAGGAGAGCTCTCCTGCTTCTCTCTACTTGAAAATATTCCCGAATCATGCAGGTTGCGTGTCCCCTGCTGAGCCCACAGCTGTAACTCACCTCAGTCCAGTTGGCATCGTTGTCCTGTGGGATGGCAATAGTCTCACTTTTGTACTCAGCCAGAACATCCTCATTCTCTGAGAGCAGCTTCACACAGAGCTCATAGAGGCAGCCGGCATCGCTGCGTCCTGCATACCTGCAAGGAGATCCAAGCTGCTAGTCTTACCTGTGTGAACTCAGCAAAGAGCCAGAGCATGCAACTGTGTCTGGCTGAATGCAAGCTCTACCAGTCTCATCAAGTTACTGGGGCCTTGGTTTGAGGTGGAAATCTGTAATGGTCCTTACCCCAACCCACCACCTCCCCTCATTCACAACAGGAACCTGGTCTTTAGAGGCCATATGCACCAACAGTTTGAAGCTTGTGGGAGCTGCTGGTGGCTCAGTAAGCCAAGACTCAGCACTGTCTCGCATCTAGGGGATCTGGCAGCTAAGGTTTTAAGGCCCAGTGCAGGTATAAGCCCTCCCTGCCCTTCCTTCTCTTTCTTGACTCTCTGCCTACCTTCTGAGGCATCCTTGCTACTTACCAGTCTTTTACCACAATTTTAGGCTGGGTTGTATCCATCAGCTCTTCCCAGTAGCCCTCAGCCCTAAAGTCAATGACCTGAGCCTTTCGACACCACCTGAAATGCGAGATATTAATTGGCATCACAGTCTCTCCTGGGACAGGGGGAACCAAAAATGTCCCCTTCCCTGAACGAGAGAAGAAAGCAGCCTTACTCATAAGATGTAACAAAGTATTTATGGACTTCTTCACTAGGGAATTCTTTTCCAAAGTCCCCGGGGAGCTCTTCAATTTTCCAGCCATCACCTCCATTCTCTACCTCTCCCCAGTGCTGCAAGTCTTCTGCAAATGGCAGAAAAGAGACTCGGATGAGTCTTAGATTCTGAGGGCCTGGGGAACCTGACCTTCTCCTGCTGGAACCTTTCTCTGGGTTGTGAAAGGTATGCTGTTAGGTGCAGCACTAATTTTCTATGCAGGCTGTGGAGATGTTTGTTGAGTAGAGGTCAGGCAAAAAACTTCAGTGTGGTTGAACTTAATATTAACAAACTTTAACGTTCCCCACCAAAATGGCTATGTACCTGTGGGTTTATTTAAGAAAGTACTCCAGTGAAATTATTTAGCTATTCTGAACTGTCAGCACTTTCAGTGTCATAACATAGGAATAGCCTGGGGAGAGATGCCAATTGCTTTATTTCTAAACTGCTAAGTGGTATTTCTAGAAGCAGTATGGCCGTTAACGTTGGGCTTTTCTGGTCTTAGCCAGAGGGAAAGTGGATGTTGGAAAAGCTTGCAGAAAAATAATCTGTAAACAAAATGGAGAAGCCGTGTTGATATTGCTTTGGTCTATGATGTGTGAAATGTATTTGCTGCTGCTTGGGTTATGAGACTTTGTTACTGCTGCTTATTGCTAAGCATCTTGTAGATCTGGCAAGTGAAGTTCATAAATTATCAGAATAATGGCAAATGGGGTATGTGCACAGGTCTGTAACACGGGCTGTAGTAAGGAGGGTACAAACGAGATTTGCCTGAGCTGCTTCAAGGAAGGAAGCCTTGAAATACCTGGTGAGCTAAGGGCAGACTAGCTCCTGAGCGGGGAAGGGCTTGATCTTTCCTGTCACGGGTGGGCAAGAAGCAATCTGGAAACCCAGATGCCACTACCGTTACAGCAAAGGACATTTTTTGTCTCTCAAATGTGATTCTTATCCCTGCAGGTGCTTATATAAAGTTGATGTCAAGTGGAGCCCTTTGTAAAGGCTGATTGTCAAAGGCCTTTATGCCCATTAAATGATTTGACTGCATGCATTAAGTGATTTGACTTGGGCAAGGAGAAAATGCTGCAACCTGATGGCAACTAAAAGCTTTTTCCAAAGACTGGAGAGGATGCTCAGTTCCCAGTGACTGGTCATCTCTATGAAATCTTGGGGCTTGTTATGCTTGTCTCTCACCTTCACCACATGGGTTCTTGATGAGATTCTTCTTTTTCTTACTTAAGAAGTAGAAGTTTTGCCAATTTTCTGCATTCTCCTGTGACTCTGCTCCAGTGAGGCCTTCCTGCTGACACTTCAGGATCCAAAGTGCAGCTCCATCGACCAGGTTCTTCCACTGGCAGCAGACCAGGCGGCACGCCAGCACCAAATCCACCGCAGGTATGGAAGCCAGGATTCTGATCAGGACTGCTTCAGGGAGGGACTCCATCCTTGGGCCAGGCTGGATGGAGCTTTCTGAGAAAGAAGGGGGAAAGGAGTGGTGACACAGTGGTCCTTCAGACATGGGGTTCCCCACCCTCGGTGATGTCAAACACTGATGCATTAGAAAAAAGGGAAAATAAGCATGTTATCTTAAAGCATGATTTTGGGGGCATAGATTGCTTCCTAACCTCAAGGCCTCCTGACCCCTATTAAGTTAATACCCTGAAGCATGTGAGCAGATTAGTATTTTATGTTCTAAGTGAAGCCCTTAGTAAAATCCATCCACAAAATGCAAGTAGCTGACATCTGCAATTGTGGACAGCTTGTCAGTTTCCCAGACTGGAATTAGTCCTTCCAGAAATCTCCGCTGCCGCAAAAATCAGCGTCTTAGTAATGACCTCTTCTGCAGAGGGAGGCATCTGCGTGTTTGTTCTGCCTTTAAGAACATCACTGATAACAAATGCTGCAGAGACGTATCTAAATATCAGTGGTGAGCGTCTTGCCAACCACGTTTGCAGTGGTTTGTTCTATATCTGAAAGGCTTTCTCTCGAGGGGCTGGCACTTAATCTTCATAGTCATGAGCCTGTATAAGTATAGGCCTGAGGATAACTGAAAATAACTCAGTTGATATTCTCTAATATTCCTTTTTCTATGGCCTTATAACCCGAGCAATTAAGTCAGAAGTGTGGGCTTTAACTTCATGTGCTAATTCTGCACTCTGACTCCCAACAGCTCTCTGCTGCCCTGAGTTCTAGGGCCAGGTGCTGCAGGAATAAGGGACGATGAGTGTGCAGATTCAGAGCCCCATGTCATCAGTGTGGGACGCACTGTGACACTGCTTTTATCTCAGCTGAGTCCTGATGCTGGGAAGCTGCTGAGACTGCAGCAAACTGCGCAGATGCAGCCAAACTCCTCAGGAGTGAGTCATTAAGCCTAGGAGAGCACTAGGGATAAAGCAGGTGAAATATCCTGACATGCTACTTGATGGAATACGGCAGTGCCAAATCTGGCAAGGGAGGGAAGAAACAGGGAGTCACTACTATAACAGCATCCTAAATGGATGTTCCAGATGCAGAGCTATCATGTGTCCTCTATCTGCCCTGCAGACAGCAGGAGGAAACTGTCATCTAAAATTCCCTGGCTTCTATGGGGGTAGCATGCGGGATTTCCTATTCCCCCCAACCCTCAACCACAGTCCTGAAGGGTAAAATGTGATTTTTAAAAAAGAAAAGAGAGTGTGTGCTGGTTTAATCTCCTGCAGGAATTTCACATGCCTCACCCGCTCTGCCTGGTGATGGAGCATTACCGGTCTCCTCTCTTAGCAAGGATTTCCCACGCACTCAGGGAAGGGGTGAAGGGCCCTGGCTGACTTTTCACTCCGACCCACAGTATCTTTGAACTGGTCTACCCCTCGGCAGGCCTGCCGGGGCAGCTTCCATCCCTTGCCGTGCTTGGGGCGCGCTCGGGTTCCCTATCTGCCCCCCACCCTAACCCTCTTTTTCCTCTCTGCCTTCCCTCCCTTGCCCCCCAGCCGAGACGGCCTGGGAGAGACCCGCGGGGTAACGGCGCAGTGCCCCCCGTCCCGTCCCGTCCCGTC